CCCCTCTGCCGGGATGACATTAGTCGGTTGATGGTTGGTAATTTGTTGAATCCCTCGCCACACCTGCCTCATGTTATTACTATAAAAATTATCCTCAATCTTCCTCAGTCTTGGCTTCTGAATATCTTTCTTCAGACTAGTTCTGGCAACAGTGTATCTTGCCCCATCACCGGACCTAAAAGCCTTGGTGCTGTCATGCAAGAGGTGCTGGACTTCCTTGGTCATCCAGGGCTTCTGATTGGGATAGATTCTAATACGTTTATCACAATGATAGTATCTGTGCAGTGTTTGATATAGCATCGAACCTGGCAAAAGCCATTTTTCTATTCCTCAGTTGCCACACAGAGAGGGGAGGGGGAAGGAGGATGAAATGCATGTTTTGCTAGATAAAACACAGAACTTTCTCGTGGGAACCAAGGTCTTCTCTACAGATGGTGGATAGAGATGGGGAGGAGTGCCTTCTAATTAACTTAATTGGCCAACGTGACTTGTGACTTTTGGGGAGGGAGTTATTTCCTATTTTAATTATACTGAGACCGCGGGAAACATTTAGAGTTTGTTTTCCATTTGATTGTGCCGATATGATGTACTCAATAAAGAAGTTCTTAGAGGAAGACATTAGCCTCAGAGTTCTGATTTGCTTGGGTTCGTTAGTCAGGATCATGACAATATTGACGGCATCTAGTTAACATGATCCAATTGAGATTTTTTAATTTTATTTATTTATTTGTCAAACATACAAGATAGCAGGTATAGGTATAAACATAAACATAAACAAAGGAAGTAAGTCCAGGTAAATGGGGACAGTAGGACAGGGACGGTAGGCACACTGGTGCGCTTATGCACGCCCCCTTTATGGACCTCTTAGGAATGGGATGAGGTCTACAGTAAACAGTTTGAGGTTGAAGCTGTGAGGGTTTGAAGCTGTAACAACGGAGTCGGGTAGAGCATTTCAGGTATTGACCACTCTGTTGCTGAAATCGTATTTTCTGCAATCGAGTTTGGAGCGGTTTACCTTGAGTTTGTATCGATTGTTTGCCCCTATATTATTGTGATTGAAGCTGAAAAAGTAATTGACAGGTAAGACGTCATAGCAGATAATTTTGTTTACTATGCTTAGATCAGACTGCAGGCAGCACAGTTCCAGATTGTCCAAGCCCAGAATTTCAAGTCTGGTGGCATAAGGGATTCTGTTGTGAGTGGAGGAGTGGAGTACTCTTCTCGTGAAATACCTCTGGACTTGCTCAATCATGTTAATGTCCGATACATAGTGTGGATTCCAGGCACATGAGCTGTATTCAAGAATTGGTCTGGTAAAGGTTTTGCATTCCCTAGTTAGCAGTACAATGTTATCAGAGAAGAAGCTTCGCAAGATAACAACAATTTTTAATGCCTTTTTGGCACCCGAGGAGACAGATCTAAATGCTATTCATTTGCTCTACATCAGCTCTTGATAGTTGCTGATGTGAAGGATGAAAAGGACGCTTGAATCAGTCCCTGCCGCAACATGCCCATTGAATCCTAATTCTTCATGGTTAATGATAGAGAATAGTATTCAGTTAAATGAGTGGTGGTGGAGTGGTTTTCATTTTGATATATTAAGACTAAAAAAAAAAACATTCTTTGTTAATATTTTTGTTTCTTGAAAGGGATTGAATATTTTGCCTTCATTTCTCAGCGGTTTGTCATGAGTTTAGCAGTGAAGTTTTGGAGGATGTAGAAGAGAGTTCGGGGATCGGTTCCTGTTTGTCCTGAATCTCATTTCTCTGACTTTTGCATCTTCTGGGTATTCGAATGGATTAGGCATGTGCAACCTGCCAGCACCTCTGCCTTGTGGCAACTTTGAAGCCTCAAAGATGGCCCCAGCCTGGTTTGCTTCAGGGTTGACACCTTGCTGATCTCTCTAGGAATTCTTCACTGATGCTGTTTTTACTGTTCCTATCTTTTAACATACACATAAACTTTAAAAAGTTAGTTGTGTATCTAGCATCTGAGTGATGAGTGAAATCTCTGTAGAACTTGACAAGATAGTTTCAGCGGTGGAAGAGACTATCTTTTTAAAACTTCCCCCAAGATGCCATTTATAAGTGGAGCATGCCTCTAATTTAGACTATCAAGGTTATGGGTTATGAAGAATTTTGCATGACAGTTACAAATGAGGGGAGTGCTGCTGTCATTACTGGTCTGTAGTTCTGGTTCTTTTATTGCTCCAGGAAGCATTTAGTGCTTGCATGCTTGAAAGGATTTCAGAGCTGTCATTGTGATGAAATTTCTGATTTGCTGATTGATGACATTGTCTACTTGCTAGTTATGATAGCAGCAGTCCTCTCTGTAATTGGATCAGCATCGATCTAGCTCTGAACATATCTAATGCCATAAATATGGAACATTTCTGCATGTAGTTCCATAAACACAGTACTTTATAAACATTTCTTTCCTAGCCAAGGGAGGAAGCAACTTTGCTTGCCAGGCTTTTTATCACCTGCAATCTAACCTTGTGCTATAATTACTGTAAATTGCATTTGTCACTACAGATGACAGTTTTATTATAAATATTTTTAATATAATGATTAGAGTCAGCATAGCAATGAAGATGGATAGGGATCCAGGGGTGGGTTCTAAATTTTTTTACTACCGGTTCTGTGGGCGTGGCTTATTTTGTGGACGTGGCTTGATGGTCATGTGACAATTATTCAAGATTTAGCAGAGGTACTTGTCTACCAGGCTTTTAACTGCTTGCAGAGCTGTACCGATCTACCCATTTATTTTTGCAGGCACTGATCTACTCATGTATTTTTGCAGGCACCGGTCTACTTATTTGTTTTCTTTTAACACTGATCAGCTGTAGGGCGGCCTTTTGAAGCCCCGCAGCAAGAGTTTAAACAGTTTTTTTCCCTCTAGCCATCAGCTGGGACTCAGGAGGCAGCAATAGATTGGGGGTGGGGCCAAATAAAAGGTAAGAATAACGCAGGGGGAGGGGGTGGGGTGCAGGGGGAGGGGCCGGGGGGCAGAACCGGTTCGGTGATGTCATATCGTCACCGCTACCGGCTCGGGAGAACCGGGCCGAACCGGGAGGAACCCGTCACTGTAGGGATCCTAGGATAATATTTTTACTCCATTATGATGCATACTGAATAATTTTGATATTGGTTGTGTTACCATCTTTTTGTGTACTAAAGATTTATATAGGAAACACATTGGGTACCACACTGAGTTTAAGTCACTATTAAGTAAGATTTCTATATACTAGTTACTAGGGAAAAAAAGTCAAAGAGTATGTGTGCTAAAATATTAAAGTCTCTTTCAAGACAAGGCTGTTTTCCAGTGACTTTGTAGACACAACCTGTGCAATTTTTTTTGGCAATACTACAGAGGTGGTTTTTGGCTGCTGCCTTCTTAGAGATTATTTCTTTGACTTTGCAAACAAGCTGACAGCTCCAATATTTCTTAGTGATTTCACATCCAAGTTCTAATCAGATCCACTCCTGTTTAGCATTCTGAAATCAGTTGAAATTAGATGTTTTGCTATTACTGGCCATGATATTAGCAATTGCATATTCTTTTCCTCTCATATACCTATCTTTCAATTCATCCTCCTCCTCCCACCCCTCTGCTGCTTAGTTACAGGGTCCACTTATTTGCACAACATTATGAAGCCTATAATGCATGCTCCTGAGATTAGGACTGAGATCAAGATCACCTAACTGGCTTCAGTGCCCTGCTCCCAGTCCAAGTCTTTAATCATTAGACTATGATGTTCATTTTCTTTTTTCTTCTCGTATACAACCTGTAAGAAATAAATCTTTTTGTTAAATTGGAATCTGTAAAAGCATAGTAGAGTTGAAACTGGAGAAGTGTGGGCTGGTAGCCAGATAGTTGTTATAATGATAGGAGCCTCTTTCTTTTCCTTCAGAAAGAAAAGGCATTTTATAGACTTCATACTTGCTTTCCTATGGGAATTTCAGGAAGGAGCATCCTTTTTAGGCATATAATGTTCATTTTGTGTGCATGCAGTCTTCTGATTTTTTAAATTTATATAATTCTTGAAATCAAATTTGTTCAGGAACCCAGTATTTTTTTTCCTGACTTCTCTTTGAAACTAGATATTCACACTGCTTATTGATGTTGTTCTTTGTATATAGGAGAAACTCCTTTTCCATAGAATTTCCTTCTATGGAAATTCAAATTTCTTTTCTCAGTCTTATGCAAAAGTTAACATCTATAATTACTGGTATTTTAAGATCTGTCTACTTTGGGGGGTTGTTGCTAAAATAAAATAAAGGGCAAAAATAATATATCACCTTGAACTCTTTGTAAGAGATATGAAATAAAATGAGTTGAGTTGAATTTCAGGAGTTTTCATTCTGCTGTAAATTCTGCCTGCATGTATTTGCCCTGTAATGCAGGGTATTAAAAGAGCCAGTTTGATGTAATAGTTAAGGCATTGGGCTATATGCTGGAAAACCATGATTTCTAGTCCTGCCTTAGGCACAAAGCCAGTTGGATGATCTTGGGCCAGTAACTCTCTCTCAGCCCTAGGCAATGGCAAATCACTGTAGAAAAATCTTGCCAAGAAAACTGCAGGTACTTACCCAGACAGTCACCAGGAATTAACACTGACTTCAAGGCACATACACAAAATAATAGATATTAAATAAGAGTCACTGAATTATGTTTCAAATGTACTTGAGCCTAGGTTAGAATGATTCTATTTTGATTTCATTCCAACTATTTCTGGTTGGAATCACTGTTATTATATTTTACTGTCTGTTCTTGGTGTAGCTTATAAGAAATATTTGAAATTGCTATGGCAAGTCAAAGAGAAGATTTTGCTAAATAATCCGGGTTGATATTTGTGCTGAAATTGGGCTCTTTATGTTACTTTGCATGTTTATAGTTTATGTTGCTTTGTATGCTTATGGTAACCAAAGCGTTTCTCTTTTACCAATGCATATCTCACTTATTTTTGCTCTATTCTTTCCCCCTCTCTTTTTTTCTAGCAAATAACTGATGAGGGTAAAAGATCCATCAAAGGTTACCCATGATAAAAATAAGAGACAAAAAAAGGCAAATCAGCATCAGGATGAAGATTCCTCAGATGATATTACAGGTGAAAAAGCTTTTATTTGGGGAAAGCTAGAAAGAGAAAGAAGTGACAGAATAAAAATGAGTCCACTAAGAAATTTAAAACAACAACAACCAGAAGTAGAATTACACTTTGAGAGAAAGGCAGCAGAAAATTTATTAGCCAATCGAAGAGTTAGACTTCAAACTATATTATTATTGATGACGCTTTATGTGGGACAGATATTGAATTCTGTGAGGAATCTTAAATCTTACATTCTTACATCTTAAACCATAATAATGTAGTTTCTTATGTTGCAATTATAAAAATATATTCTTAATAAATATTTCCTCCAGCAATCAATCATGTCTTAATCATTTGAATCTTTTTTTTTTAATCTTCAATGTAGGATTAACATGCCAACATGTGGGCCAGGCAGTTGATGTCCATCATGTGAAGCGAGCAGTGGCTCAAAATGTTTGGTCGATATGCTCAGAGTGCTTAAAGGAAAGGAGAATATATAATGGTGAACCAGTAATGCCTTCTGATATATGGCTCTGTCTCCGATGTGGCATTCAGGTAATTAACTTTATAAAGTAATAGTTTATACATCATTCCTATGGAACAGATACAGCATTTGGGAATTGTAAGCTTTGCAAAAGCATGTTAAGGAGAGACAGAACAGAGGTTTTAAAACACTCATGCCAGGGGTGGTATTTTATTTTTATTTATTTATTTGTCGAGTACATATTAGATAATATATATATAAGTATAAGCATGAATTGAATACATAAAATGAATACAATTAAAGAAACATTAGGATAGGGATGGTAGGCACGCTGGTACTCTTATGCACGCCCCTTACAGACCTCTTAGGAATAGGGTGAGGTCAACAGTAGCCAGTCTTATGTTAAAATTTTGGGGGTTTTGGGATGAAACCACAGAGCCAGGTAGTGCATTCCAGGCATTGACCACTCTGTTGCTGAAGTCATATTTTCTACAATCGAGTTTGGAGTGGTTCACTTTATGTTTGTATCTATTGTGTGCTTGTGTATTGTTGTGGTTGAAACTGAAGTAGTCATTGACAGGTAGGACATTGTAGCAGATGATTTTATGAGCTATGCTTAGGTCATATGGAAGGCGGCATGGTTCTAAATTTTCTAAGCCCAGAATTTCAACTCTGTTGGCATAAGGTACTACCGGTTTGCAAATGTGAGTGTGCGCGTGAGCGTAACAAGCACATGCATCCTCCATGCATGCACAGAGGGTCAAAAATGGGACATGATGATGTCCGGGCAGGTGGGTGGAGCCTCCCGCCGCTGGCGCTACCGGATCGTGTGATCCAGATAGAACTGGCTGAATTTCACCACTGACTCATGCCTAGTGTGAAAAAATATATAGAAAGTGTTCATTCTTTCACATTATTAGAACCCAGGGTCACCTATGGAATGGGTGCCTAATGCCTAATTACAAGGAGTTTCTGAACTACTAAAAACACACACATTTTTTTTTAAATACCCAAAGCATTGTTAAACAATGGAATTCACTTCCACCAGATATGGCACGTGCTCCCTGTTGAAGTGAGAGAACAGAGGTCTTTGTGGGAATTTTAACAGGCTTTAAAGGCACATTTTTGATCAGGATTTTATTGTTGATAATTTCATAAAGTATTTATTATTTTAATTTTTAGTATCAATTCTGATTTTTTGTTGACTTTATTTTATGATAGTTGTCTGTAAAATAAATATCTTAGTATGATTCACTCATGTGGGTCTTAAAGGGGACTAGAAAGAAAATTCTGATAGTCATGTATTTCCTCCAGAAATAAAGGCAAAATACTTAAATATCAATAGTAAGGGAGGGATATTATTCTTCAGTTCATGCTTCTGAGCTTCACAAAATTATCTGGTTGTCTTTAGCATGATACAGAATGCTGGATTAGATAGGCTTTTGGCCTGCAGTCCTTATCCTATATGAATTGCTCTGTGAGAGATATGCGGTCTCTTAAATTTGATAAATACCGTAAATAAATTATTATTTATTTATTATTTTATTAAATTTGTATACCGCCCTTCTCCTGCTGGATTCAGGGCGGTGCACAGCCAAAATAAAAAACATCCCAATACAAAATTTAAAATTTGTTAAAAGAATTACACACTTTGGCCCAAAATTTAAAAGATCCCAACTAAAACTCATAGACAATTAAAATCTAACATCTCAAAAAGGGGTGGGTGGGTTATGCCAGCCCTGCTTGGTGGAAAAGAAAAGTTTTTAGGGCACAGCGAAAAGCCCGGAGATCTGGTATCATGCGTATCTCCGGGGGCAAGTCGTTCCAGAGGGCAGGTGCTGCCACAGAGAAGGCCCTCCCCGGGGATCGCCAGCTGACACTGTCTGGCTGACGGCACCCTGAGGAGTCCCTCTCTGTGGGAGCGTACTGGCCGGTGGGAGGCTATCGGCGGCAGAAGGCGGCAAATACCCAGGCCCTATGCCATGGAGCGCTTTAAAGGTGGTAACCAACACCTTGAAGTGCACCCGGAAGTCCACCGGAAGCCAATGCAGCTCACGCAGGAGAGGCCTCACATGGGAGCGCCCCCTTGCTCCCATAATCCCCCGTGCAGTCACATTCTGCACCAGTTGGAGCCTCCAGGTGCTCCTCAAGGGGAGCCCCATGTAGAGAGCATTGCAGTAGTCCAGGCGGGAAGTGACGAGTGCCTGAGTGACTGTGCGTAAGGAGTCCCGATCCAGAAAGGGATGCAACTGGCGAATCAGGCGAACCTGATGAAAAGCCCCCCTGGCCACGGCCATCACATGCTCTTCTAAAGACAGCCGTGCATCCAGGAGGACGCCCAAGTTGCGAGCCCTCTCCATGGGGGCCAATAACTCGCCCCCAATAGCCAGCGATGGCACCAGCTGGCTATATCGGGACGCCGGAAGCCACAGCCACTCGGTCTTGGAAGGGTTGAGTTGAAGCCTGTTACTCCCCATCCAGATCCGCACGGCCTCCAGGCATCAGGACATTACTTCAAGGGCATCGTTGGGATGGCCTGGGGTGGAGATGTACAGCTGAGTATCATCAGCGTACTGATGGAACTCCACCCCAAAGCCACGGATGATCTCACCCAGCGGCTTCACATAAATGTTGAACAGAAGGGGTGAGAGGACCAACCCCTGCGGCACCCCACAAACAAGGTGCCTCGGGGTCGACCTCTGCCCCCCTGCCAACACCGACTACATCCGGTCAGAGAGATAGGAGGAGAACCACCACAGAACGGTGCCCCCCACTCCCAACCCCTCCAACCGGCACAGCATGATACCATGGTTGATGGTATCAAAAGCCGCTGAGAGATCTAACAGGACCAGGATAGAGGAACAACCCCTATCCCAAGCCCTCCAGAGATCATCCACCAGCGCGACCAATGCCGTTTCTGTATTGTGCCCAGGCCTGAAGCCGGACTGGAGCGGATCCAGATAGACATCTTCATCCAGGTACCCAGGAAGCTGTCACGCCACCATACTCTCAACAACCTTCGCCACAAAGGGAAGGTTGGAGACAGGACGATAGTTAGCCAAAACAGCCGGATCCAGAGCGGGCTTCTTGAGGAGGGGCCTCACCACCGCCTCTTTCAAGGCAGGTGGCAAGACACCCTCACTCAAGGAAGCGTTGATAATCCCCTGGAGCCAGCCTCGCATAACCTCCCGGGAGGCCAGCACCAACCAGGAGGGACACGGGTCCAATAAACATGAGGTTGCGTTCAGCCGCCCCGGTATCCTGTCCACGTCCTCGGGAGCAACAGGGTTGAACTCCTCCTAAATGACATTCTCAAGATTGGCCTCCATCATCCCGTCTGTACCTACCCAGTCAGAGACCAAGCCTTCCCGAATCTGAGTAATTTTATCGTGCAGATACTGAACAAAATCCTCAGCGTGACCCTGCAAGGGATCCTCCCGCACTCCCAGATGGAGGATGTTTGTTATCTGGGTCATAGAGCATTTCATTGGTTTTGTAGAGTTCTGCTGAAGTATCAAAAGACAGGAATTGGGACTAAACCTGTGGAATTTTATCTATTATGGGAGCTGAATGTAACACTTTAGTTTTTACTTTGGAATATGCAGCAGCTTCTTCTTTCATAGACCTTTAGGATCTCACTGTTTTGAGAAAATGCTATTATACTTAAAACTTTGCATCATAACCAGGAGGAAATGTAGCTGCTATTATATTTCTTGGGTGGGTCAGAAGAGTCATTTTATCCTGAACAATTACTTCTTTATGATGCTGGTCATTTGTTATGGAAATGGTTGAGTATGAAGAAGACAATATAATGGTTTCCACAATTTCCATATTCCGACAAGCTATGCTTGTTGAAGTATGTTGATGTCCTTTTTTTAAAAAGAAAAAGAAAAACTGATGAGTCCGTAGCTTGATGTAGAGTAAAACATACTTGCTGCTTTCATTGTAGAACATAACTATATCTTAAGATTTTATCAATGGTCTTCAGGGCTGTGGTCAAAATTCAGAAGGCCAGCATTCTCTAAAGCATTTCCAGACTGCACGGGCGGATTCTCATTGTATTGTAATCAATCTTAGCACATGGATCATATGGTAAGTTAATTCACATTTTGAGAGAGAAAGTTTTGTACGTGTAAAAGTAAATATAAGCAGTTGTACATTTAGGTGTATATAGGTGAGTGTATGCATAAAATGAAATAACTTTATTTTAGTTGTTAAGTAGCCTTAAGTGTGTGTGTGTGTATGTGTGTGTGTATTTGACATAGTTTGTGCAAGTTACCCTGTTTCCCCCAAAATAAAACATCCCCTGATAATAAGCCCAAACGGGCTTTTGAGTGCATGGCAATAAGGCCAAGTGCTTATTTCAGGGTTCAAAAAAAATATAAGACAGGGTCTTATTTTCGGGGAAACACGGTATTATTACAAGAATTTTAGTTATGAATGATTAAAGATACAAAGTAGCATCATTTGGGTAATTCTATATGAGACTGTACTAGAATTTATATTACTTTATTTAGTCATTCTTCAAGTTGGTTTTGACCAAATGCTTGTTTCTTATTCATTTTTTTTTTCAGTAAGTCAAACTAATTTGTGTACTACTAAACTGCTCATATCTGTAACCTTTAACTCGGTGAAACAGTGCATCATAGGACAATAGTTTTTTTGAACGAAGATACATCAAATGGCTAGCTTATAGAATGCATCCAAAATCTGGGACCCTTGACTTCTATGGGATTGAACTTTGGCAAATTTGTGGTCACTTCAGTGCTAAAGTGCAACTGCACCACTGCCTAGAGGTTTAGTAAATCAATCCTGCCATAGACTTCTGGAGACTGGGTAGCATTGGCTGCCAGAGATAGTCAGCCATGGTCAGACTGGCAGGAAATTGGAAGCTGTTCCTGTTCCCACTGCTTTTTTGACCTTGGCCACACTGTTTCTCTGTTTAGATAAAGAAATACCTTTCAAAACAAGGACATAACAGGTTATGGGTTGTCTAATATGGGTTGTTAAAATATATTATATATTTTATATATATAACTAAAAATATTTAGTTATTTCAATAGTAGTACTTTTTGAAATCTGTTATATTGCCTTTAATAGTAACAGCCAATCCATTTTTGATTATTATATTATTACATACTTTTTTGATGTACTCCCCCCTACCCCATCCGTGTTCTCCTGATCTCCAGATTTGTACTATGAGATCTTTGCAGGATGCCAAAGCCAGTTACATATTGTAGCTATAGACAGTGAAGTGGGAAAGAAATGAATACCTTCCATTGTCTCCCTGGTCACTTACAGTTTCTTCTGAACTAGTCAACTGAACTAGTCACTGATATAGTCTTACAAGTGAATGGCATAAGCAATGTGTTTAAGATGAAACTGCTACCTTTTTTAGTCTTTAACGAACGTGAACAAAATGGGAACTACGGTATTTGTTTAATTCTAAGTTTCAGACTCCTCCAGGGCAACATCTGAATTATATTAGTGGAGTTGTGACCTATCCAGTGCTCATCATGAGCACTCTAGATTTGAGAATGTCTGCATATGGCTAGTGTCATAAGAATGTCCTTGAGAGATATTGTTACTGCATTTAAATGCTTTATTTCAGGTGTTATGAATGTAATGAGGAACTCTCAACACATTGTAACAAAAAGGCTTTGACACAGATCGTTGACTTCCTCCAAAGGCATGTTACTAGAAATGAATCAAGTAAGTTACCTTGAGATGTTTTATGTTAGTATGATGTTACATATCTTGTTAGATACATCAGAAGGATGAAGTAGAACAACAACAACAAAAAACTTCTGCGTAATGTTACAGCACAATAAGCAAAGTTTAAATACATGACTGAGTTATCCTTTGGCTACTAAGCAAAGATCTTTCAAAAATAGTTTGACCACTCAACCCTTGCTAATGATGCAGTGGTTAATTTCTAAAACAAAGTTTCTAGTCTTCAATGTTTGCCAGATATATGAGTTTTGAGGGACAGTTTATAATGTTTTATAATGATAGAATTTAGCAGTAGAGAACAATATTATAAGGATACATTTGGATTGGACCAGATTTAATTCTACTTTTAGTAGGAACTTGAATTTATGGGATTTAAAGAAGACATGATCAGATCCCATATTAATATTCTCTGTCTGATTCAACCCTTAGTTCATGTTTTCTCCTATTTATGCTGTAAACAAGAATATGTATTCCCACTCTGTTTTATTTGTTTGTTGAACTTGATATTCTGTCTGATTAGCAAAAAATTCTCACTGGTTTAAAATATACTAAAATAATTTTAGAAAGAGAGATTAAATACAGTTAAAATAGGATTAAAATAAATAAAACAAGTGGAATTAATACTTAAAATTAATACTTGAAATCAGCAATTAAATGTTCTAAAATATGGTTTAAAGGACTTGCCTAATAAAATGTTTATTCAAAAGAGCTAGAAAGGGAACAGAAAAGGTTTGATCCTGAGTTGCTGCCAAAGAAACTTGGGACAACTGTAGACATACTCCTTGGATGTATTCATAAGCATGGATGTTCATATAGAAGAAGGTATTCTTTCAAATAGTCTGAAATTACAACAAATAACACTTAATATTTGTTTGCACTGAAATTAATTTGCAGTTTTTATCCAAGATGAGATTAGTATTTATGTATTGAATTTGGATAGGATTTATACTTTCCCTCCTTCTTACTTTTGAGGTGGAAAACTTGAGAATTAACTGGACAGGGTATTTGGCATTCTAAAGCATTAGAATAAGGCAAAGGGTGGGACTGTGGCCAGGACATCTGTCCACTAAGCCAGAGTGACAACTTCTTAAAGTTCAGTTTCAACTCCCTTCCTCAATCAACTGGAGGACTGTACTAGAAGAGTGGCAACATCACAACAAATGAATAAACAAGCAAACAAACGAATGAACCAATGAATGAATGAATATGGTGGTAGTCCAAATCAGAGGAGTATTTTTGCTAAACTACTTTTTGTAAAAGAGAGGAGGAAGGAGTTCAGAAAGGGATATCTTGATGGAAGATGAAAGAGGCAGAGGGGAAAAAAGTTGATTTTTCCACATTTATATTATACTTGGAATATCTGCTAGCACTGCAGTAGCCCATTGCTTAGAAATCCCAGGTTATGATTTCCTGAACATGAAATTATTCCATGGCAGAAAATGAATTAAAATGTGTTTTCTAGAATGCAACTGTTGTGCTAAATAAAAAGTGATAATGTATTTTGCAGAGGTTTAGATATGTCAATACTGATTCTGCCATGTAGTGTTATGCAGGAATGAGAAGTATAATTAGTTCCAAACCATCTGGAAAATAATATTTATCTTAATATTTTATTTTTGTATGTAAGTTTTCGTGTACTCTATACTTGAGGAATGAAGGATTGTAGTTCTGATAAAATGCTCTAGGGTTGGATAAGTGACGGTATGAATATAATAGAAAATCCATTTGGCAATTGATTGGAAATTTTTTCATAAAATATTGAATTCAGAAAAAAAATATACCTAAGGCCAGATGAATGGATGCTGGTTTCATATTTGGGTTGACTAGATGGAACCTGATTTGTGGGGGGTCGCGATGGGTTAGACACTTCGCGACTAACAACAATAACAACAAAAATGTTTAAACCCAGATACTAATAAGAAATCCTGGTAGACTAGAAAACCTAATGCACAATCTTATGCTTGTCTCATCAGAAAGAAATTCCAACCACTTTAGTAGATCTTACTTTTTAATAAATATTCATAAGATTGTAGCTTTTCCATGGAATGTTCTACATGTCTGTTTGAAGTAAGTCACATTGAATCTAATAGAATTGACTTTAATAGGCATCATGTTTGTTGATCAGTTATATGCATATTACACAATAACACAGAAATAAATTAATGCATGACTCATCTCTTTCTAATAGGAATACCTCTTTTCTTCGTCTAAAGCCTCTTTAAATACATAATGTAAAAAGACAGGATATAAATATATTTCATAACATACATAACTTACTCTTTATTCTATTTTATGTATTATGCTTTTAAAAAATTTGATAGTTTTAAAAGTACCCAGCTGATCTTTTTAAAAATAATATTAAAATACAATTGACTGTCTCTCTATTTGCCTTTTTTTCTGTTTTTGTTAAATATGCATTTAAATTGAACCTTTCTTTTTTCTGTTGAAATTATTGGTCATGTTGATTTTTTTAAAGAGAAGTTTCTTTATTGTATATACTAAAAAATTTAAATATATCATTATTCGAGCATAATCCAAAGAGAGAACAAATAGGGCACTGAGCATGACCAGCAATTCACACACTGCTTTTATGGCAATTTTTAATTGCATATGATTTGTTATTTTATTTTATATCCAGTGGAACATGCAATCTGCCAGTAGCTGTTTTCCTTTAGATGAAAAAGATATTTTAGTGCACCATGTACAGGCGGTTCCTTAAAATAAGTGAAGAAAAAAACAATGCTTGTTTTATAACAACATGCATTTGCTAGAAAAGGGTTATGATTATGATTTTTTTTTCAAGTACCATAGGCCTGTCAATAATGAGACACACTAAATAAACAGAGCCTAGCTTGCTTGTTCAGCTTCAGACTAATCAATTTGAAGAAAAGGCAGCCAGATTATGGAAAAAGCAGCACAGATTTTCTAAGAAATATATTTTGAGAAATAAACCAGAAGCAAAATATTTGTGGTTGCCAAGAGCAAGCACGACACCTTGATCTCTGCTTCCCGCCACCCCACTCCGACTCAACTTGCTTGCAAAATTGGGCAAATGACATTATTGCTCCATGACTGACCAGAAAATTAAATTAAGTAATTGAGATTAACCCAAGTGTGGAGTTCTCCCCTCAAAAATGCTGGCAGTATGTGGACTTCCCATCGGATCTTATGATTTACCGTGCCCAGAAAGTCTGCATTGTCTCTCTTTTTTCTCTTCTCCCTTTTTTTTTCCTTCCCTTTTTTCTCAAAATCATCTGTTTGGTTAACGTCAGGTTTGCCACAGTGTGGAAGAATAAAGCAAGTGTTTTTTAAAGAATAACCAGCCAGCAGAGGCTAGGGTTTTTTGGGGTTTTTTTTTGCAAAAAAGGAATTGGCCCATTATACAGCTTTTGCCAAGAAAGCAGGTGCAATATTGTCATGACGGCACACTTGTGAGTTTCACATGAACCTAGTGCACATGTAGTACACAGGAACCATGCTGTGCTGTTACAGTTTTGACTGTCTGCTGCCTGGGAAAGAAGATTAGAAATGCAGGTTTGTTTGATCCCTGGAAACAAACAGTCCTCTCCCCACTTAGTTATGCCCCCAGTGCATCTTTCAGTTAATGAGAATAGGGGAAAAAAAAGTTAATTACCATTCAAAAATAATTTCTATTTGTTCTGAGATTTACAGAATCCTTTTATTCTAATTTTCAGTACCAATGGATTACTACAAAGGCTGTATTTTATTTTATTTTATTATTTTATTTCTAATTCAATAATTGCCTTTTTGCCAGGCTCTATGTTTGTTTTCTTTAAAAAAAAAAACACCAAGGAAAAAAGATGTTGCACTATATCTCTGATACCCATAATTACTAAAGTCTTTGTATGAATACCAATTAATCTGTGAATTAAAAGAAATGCTGGTTTGTTTTAACAATATTTTGAAACGCTGGAATATTTTGCAATGTATTTTATCAGGCCCTGAAGAATTATATAATTGCTTTGCCTAATTTTTATATATTTTAAATTAAAATATTTTACAAAATAAAAAAGCAGAATAAAAAGTAAACCATTACATCCCAGCAGTTATTGTCATTTGTTAGGAATTATGAAAAAAAAATTGGCAGGGATGTGTTGTTTTGTGGTAATTAAATGTTCAAAGGAAGACAGTGTCAGCTCATCTGTTAATTTTTTCTAATGATGAAATTAAAATTAAAAATTAATAGTTCCAGTAAAGGTTCTTAAACTTGAAATACCAGAATAGGCCCTCAGAAGATTTTACAGACAGTAGTTTTAGAATGGATTAAAATATACCGGGTTAAAACATACTGTTAACTTTTAGGACTAATTGCTCCATGATATTTTATCCAAATTTCTGCCAGCCAAATTGTTGCACACTTTCTTTCACACTTTCTGCTCACCCCACAGATCTACCCCACAGTGTTGAGGAATTATCTGAAGCAGTTTTCTGGATACATTAGTGGTTATAGGAAAAGAAGCTCAGGAAAACTCCGCATTGTATAAGCTAGTTTTATAACCCATAATAAACCTATGTGCCTTGTGAAGTTCCATGTAGTGCCCAGGAAATTGAAGGGTAAACCCGATTTATTATTTTTCTTTATAAGAGGCAATATGTGAGGAACTCTGTAAGGATTCTATTCTTTAAGAGTCTCTAAAAACAGAGCATCAGGTTAACATTTGTGTGGTTTTGTTAAACTAGCCCAGGTGTCAGCAACCTGCAGCTCCGGAGCCGCATGTGGCTCTTTGGGCCCTGTGCTGTGGCTCCCTGTCGAGTGATTCCACCACTGGCTGGCCCCGCCCCTTGCCCTCCCGTCCTCGCCTGGCCTGGGAAGGTAAGGGCAATGGCAGGTGATGGAGAAGTGGCTGGGGCAGATACAGAGAGAGGGGAAAAGAAAGAGACATAGAGAGATACAGAGAGAGAGGTGGGGAGGGAGGGGGGAGGGAGGGAGAGATGTCAAAAGGATTTTGTGGTTCCTG